AATTTTTATCTTATGCATGTAAAGGCTTATAAAAGTCATGCTCTTTCAATTGAATAAACATCAAAGTATTCTCTATTCACAAACAGTGTGTGCACAAGTTGTGTTCTGAGTTTTTAACACCTTGTGGGGTTGGTTAGTGACAGGAAGGTGACCCATGAAGAAGAAAGATTCAGAGAAAATGAGAAAGTGAGTGAAGAATACACATTCCCCCTTTACCTTTTTATAGAAATGACATTAGAGGGAGATGAGCATCGTTTCATGCAATTATAATAACCCCTCACCCAACTTCAGACTCCATTTATTGAACATCATGAACAAAGGAATAAAAGGGAGGAAAGACTGAAATCACAAGCTATAGTGACAGTAACTATGCTCGGGATTTGGTTGACAGACAAAGCACTTCTGGAGCAGTATTCATAATATATAGGATCAGGGGCTGTATCATGGGATTTGAAAAAGTAGTCAGTAGTTAGCTTATCAACTACAGAGGCAGAATATATAGCTGCAGTAGCATGTGCCTGTCATTCATTAGTATGTTCTAACTTGTGCATGTTATGTGATATTTTGCAGAAGTTGATCAACGGTTGAGATACTGGTAATTGTTCCTTCTCTTGAAGTAATAGGTTTATTGTCATTAAGTGTTTATATTAACACCATCTTTGTTCATGTAGTCTCCAAAAAGTAAACACTTTATAGATAATAAAAATTAAGATTAAAATTATAATTCAAGTCATATAATACATAGATAATTAAGATTAAAATTTAACTAATGGTCATGTAATTAAATTTGTATATATCTTTTTACTTTTGACTATTATTTTTTGTCTTGCCATTGGTGATGGGTGTATAGAGGGGAGAGAACTGGTGCAGATATTACTTGCAGCTGGAGCTGATCCATCTGCTCAAGATTCACAGAATGGGAGGACAGCTTTGCATACTAGTGGACAAACATAAAAATGAGGTGAAGAAGCATTAATGTGGTAGTAGTATTTTCTTTTCTTGGTAGCATGTTGCATCGTATCTTACATGAAGTAAACTGTGTGCCTGTGTGTCCCCCGCACAAGGTCCCAAAAGAATAAAAAGGCAGAACAAAAGTGGGAATATGGAATATCAGCCGCGACAAGCAAGTGAGACTTCCCTGACTAAGTGGTATTGGTTGCTTTCATTACTTCTCCTTTCCGTTTAATTCCCTGTGTTTTGCTGATCAAACTTTTTTTTTAACGTTCATTTATTTCCATTTATCATAATAAAATATGTTTGTTAAAGAAACTGCAGCTTGCCTTGAAAGTGAGACTTTTGTTTTTGAACTAGATATTCAATGGCTTGATAATTGAACAGAGAAGGTTTCTACAAATGCTGCTTCAGCTGTAGTTAGCTTATCCTTGAATGAAGGGGAAGCTGATTAGGATGCATAGTGAAGTTTGCATTGTGCTAGGTAGTTTCTATTTTTCCTTCCAGTTAAGTTTCTGACAGTATTGGCATATATGGACTCATAATTTAGGTGGTAGTTCTTCAATCAATTTGAAATGTGCTTTTATATTCTTCATTGGATCTTCAATTGTGGAAAAATTTATGATCTTAAAGAAAAATGATTATTTTTGTTTTTATTTTATTCAGTTCCTATACATATTTAGTTCCTATTTTATTCAGTTAATTATTTTAAATTTTAATGTATATTTGAAATGTGCTTTTATATTTTAAAAGATTCATATTAATTTTTTTTTATTTCAATTGACTTTTAAAATCGGTTGTTACATAACCGATTTTAAAAGTCTTAACTTTTAAGATCGGTTAAAATCATAACCGATCTTAAAAGTCAAGACTTTTAAGATCGGTTATATAACAACCGATTTTAAAAGTCAAGACTTTTAAGATCAGTTAGAAATCAACCGATCTTAAAAGTCTACTTTTAAAATCGGTTGATAACCGATCTTAAATTTATATTCTTCATTGGATCTTTTAAATTTGATTCAGTTCCTATGCATACTAGAATACATTTGCATTCATATTTCAAATTTGAGAGTTAATACATGGTTATTTTAATATCATTTATGCTATTTATTCTCTTTTGAGAAATAGATGAATTATCTGATTTTGTTTGTTCATGCCAAATATATAGAGGGGAGAGAACTGGTGCAGATATTGCTTGCAGCTGGAGCTGATCCATCTGCTCAAGATTCACAGAATGGGAGGACAACTTTGCATACTAGTGGACAGGCATAAAAATGAGGTGAAGAAGCATTAATGTGGTAGGAGTAGTATTTTCTTTTCTTGGTAGCATGTTGCATCGTATCTTACATGAAGTAAACTGTGTGCCTGTGTGTCCCCCGCACAAGGTCCCAAAAGAATAAAAAGGCAGAACAAAAGTGGGGGAATATGGAATATCAGCCGCGACAAGCAAGCGTAAAACCACGGTATCTCTGGCATCTTAATATTGTTAAAGTTGAATTTGGATCCAACCCGGTCAGAATTTTGAATATTGAGGTAAATAAAGGTACGTAAAGCACAGTCCACACTCTGTGCTCTCCAATCTCAATCTCAAAGTCTGAAAGTCTTAATTGGTGTCTTAAAGCAACTATCATGTCCTATCCAAGGATTTCCACCTTGTGGGGATTGCTGCCTCTTGCTTCCATCAATTTTCATTTATTAACTATGCATAATCCTAATTTAGTCTTTAATTTTTTGTAACAAACTATTCACTTTATTAGTGTCAGAAGGTTATATATTTGAACCTTTTACACTGGATTCTATATATGAATCATTATAAGTGTGAGCAGGTTATGTTTGACTCATAAGAGAACACATTTTAGTTTTGAATTTTGTTTACTTCGTAGAAATAATTAGCAGTTTATATGTTCCCTATCTTTTGGAAGGAAGCTTCACCATTATGTCCTTTTCATTAAGTTTCTTTTGCTCTTGATTTTATAGTTTCTCGCATCAAATGGTTCCCAAGGAAATAATGGTTCAAGGGGAGATAATTGTTAGGGAAGTATTGCGAGATAATAGAGAGATAATTGCTAGGGAAATATTGCGAGGGAATAGCGAGACAATTGCTAGGAAAATATTGCGAGGGAATAGCGAAATAATTGCTAGGGAAATATTGCGAGGGAATAGAGAAGGGTCTGCGAGGGATATTCAGCGAGGGAATTGTGAGGCCTTAGCTAAGAAATGTAGCAAGGGAATAGAGAGGGGTTTGTGAGGGAACATTAGCGAGGGATTAGCTACAAATTATAGAGGGATATTTTGCGACTCCTTAGCGAGGGAATAGCGGGGAAGCTTGACCGCAAATTAGCGAGCAAATAGTAAGCATCATTAATATAATTAGCGAGGAACTTAGCAACGGATTGACGACGGATTTTGCTACAGATCAGCGAGGGATTAAATCCCTCGCTAATTAGCTACACTAGTGCAAAAAATGCTTTTAAGAACAGGGTTTTAAAATCGGTTAACAAGGAACCGATTTTAAAAAGAACGCGGTGACATTTTTGTAAATAATGCTACAATTTTTAAAATCGGTTACCATTTAACCGATTTTGAAAGATCTTTTAAAATCGGTTACATTTTAACCGATTTTAAAAAGTGTATTCTCGCTGACTTTTTAAATCGGTTCACAAAGAATTGATTTTGTATAGTCTATACAAAATCGGTTTCATTTAGAACTGATTTTGTTTGCATAATACAAAATCGGTTCTCAGCAAACCGATTTTAAATACCCTACTGAAATATGTCCTTCTATTTCTCGCCCAGGTTTATCTCTCGAGTTCATCTTCTACTGAAATTTAGAACTGATTTTGAATATTGTAAAATCCGTTCATCTTCGTTGTAGCTATTCATCGCGAGTTCATCATCTCCCATAAGGTATGTTCGTCATCTTCGTTGTAGCTGTTCAATCCGTTCATATGTTGTTGTAGCTATTTTAGTAGGCTACCTAGAATGAACTGATTTCGTTTTCGCTTAAATTTCAACAAAAGGACATTTTAACAATAAATTTATTGCGAGTTCGTTTTCGCTTAAATTTTCGTTTTCGCGAGTTCGTTCTTTGGCACCATTGATTCATTTTCGTTTTCTAGGATGCAGGAGGGTTGAAGCCACCGGATTCATTTTCGTTCACCACCTCTTCGGCGCCGCTGTTCTCGACGGTGACAACCGGCCACCGGTCGCCGTTTGTGCCTGCCTTTGGTGCTTCTAGGGCTAGATCACAAACACAACAATTTAATGCAAATGGTTTTAAATGCTTGGAAGCATTGTTGTCAAACCCTTGGCACTGATCTTCCCATATTGATTTAGAGAGCTTGCTATTCAAATTGCCGAGCAGTTTGAAGCTCTAGGTTCTGAAATTGGTGTCAAGTGTGCTGTGGTGAGTTTCAATATAATTTTTTTTAAATGATTCACTGTTTATTATTTTATTATTATAAACAGTATTTTTTTTTGAAATTAAGTGTGCTGTGCTCTAGGAAATCAGTATTGACTAATCTCATAGAACAACTAATTATTTCCAAGTCCATGGGGGAAAAATTGAACAGTCTTCATGATCATAGGTATTCTGAATATTATGTTTTTATAATGTAACTAGCAATCAGCTAAAGGACTTGATTATTACAATGTTGATAAGACTGAATTCAGGCTTTGGCCATTGCATGCCAATTTTATTTTGTTTTTGAATTAACTTCTTCTTGAATTGATAGAGTGCACGAAAATACTGCACTGGCGTTTGTCTTTATTGACCAGAATACACAACTTGTTAAAATTAGTCCTAGTTGCATACCATATAACATCCCTTTGCTCTGTCAGTGAGGAGAGAAAAATGAAAGGATTTGATAGAAATTTCATAAAACCCAGAATTTCTCGGTGGAAACCGGGTCCAACACTCCAATCCAAATCACTATATGTACATACACTACATTTTATAGCATAAAATAGACCCTACTTGGATAAATTTCTCTAATGAATATTTATTATAAAAGATCTCTCATTTAGCATCTCCAAAAGCTGACTTATATATAGTGTATGTTGTGAAAAGACTTTGGAGGAATTTATAAGCTAATTCTACCAAATTAATTTGTTTTTTTGGTACGTAAGAGATAATTTTTGCTACATACCAAAATAAACTTATTTGGTATGTAAGCTTTTAGCTTATGAAAATTGGCTAGCTTATAAGCTAGTAGTGTTTTTAATTAATTAATTAATTTTTTCATTTTTATCCTTTGTAATTATTTGAAATCTCTTTTTACCTTAAATAACTAAATATGTCATTCTACATTTATCAACTAATGTTACCAAATACTTTCAATCCAACCAATAAACTAATAAGCTTTCAGGTTTTTGACTCCTAACTTAGAACTTGTAAACTTTCAGTTAGCTAATGAGTTTCCGCTAGCTTATGAGCTAGTTTTGCCAACACACCTATAAACTAATCTAAACTTTATGGAAGAAACTTAAGCTATTCCAAAGATGAGAAGATAAGATTTTATTAATTACAGAAACAGGAACGAAAGTAGCAACATACCCTTGATTGCATCATTGTTATAGGCGTTCCTAAACCTGTCAAATAAAGAGGCATAGAAGACCTTGGCTCTCTGTGGCGCCATGGCAACGTGAAAATCTGGCTTGTTACCCTTCAAGAATCCATACAACGTTGACTCGCTGTTAGAAACAAAAATTATTAAAAAAACGAACGGTTTTGCTTCCCACAATTAAGATTAAAAATGCGAATACTCACTCAGTGATTTTTTTATAATCTGTTTATTATTGATTTGTGTGGCCTTGGAAATAATTTTTCAATATGAATGAATTCCTATTGATTTTTCCTTCCTTTTGTTTTTAGCATGTCAGCTTTCAAATGTTAATGCTTAGCTTTTTAACATGGTTCCTTTAACATTCACTTGTTGAGTAAATTTAGTACAAAACTGCTACCTTGTTTTTAACCTGTTTCCCAATTTCAAAGATTTGTATAAGAAACACTAAAAATAACTGCCCCCTGTTTTCTCTGTTTTCTGTATAAATCTTTGCAAACAAACACCGAAAATAACTCCCCTTTCTGTTTTCTCCGTTTGCTGTACTAATCTTTGAAAACAAAATTAAATTAAAAAGATGATAGTTTTATATTTAAGAGTGAAAATAAAAATGATCTAAAAAAAATGAAAACAGAAGTAAGTAAATCTTTAGTTTATCACTAACTTTTGCCCTTCTCATTTTAGAAGTCCTATATTTTTTTATTATTATTTATTTATTTGTGATGAATTCATATTCATGCAGGTTGGGACTCCTGGACGAGTTTTAGATCACCTAAAACATACCAAAGGATTTTCTCTTAATAGATTAAAATACTTGGTATGATTTCTACATTTTTTTTGAAATATATTGAATTATTAATATTACTTTCTGCGTCCTAAGAATATTTGAATGTTCATACATATTTGGTGAAGGTTTATAGGTGAATGCTTTATTCTTAACTTTCTTTTCCCCATGATTAATATAGATGAATGTTTTTTATGGTTATAAATATTTTTTTAAAAAAATTGAAATTATATATTTCAGAGCTCAAAATATACACAAGAAAAAGAGGGCATACTTAACCTCTATTTACAACAATTAAAAGAAAACCTTTATCTGTTGTATTTCTATTTCAATCTATTCTTACATTAGTCTATTCATATATCAGCATAATCATCTCCTGTGCAGGTTTCTGCATTAATTTCTTCTGTTTAAAGATAAATATTTTAGCTTCTGGCTTAGCCTTCTGGACAAAATAAAGACAAGAGCAAAAAACTGCTGCCATCACATTGAAAATAACATTTTATTCTCTTTACCCTTTCAAAAACCTGTTTCCAAATATCAAAACTAGTAGAATCTGAAAATGTTAATTGTTATGACATTCTATATGTATGAGGTGCTTAATATCTTGATGGGTATTTGATTTCATTATTTGCAATAATGAAATTCCCACTTTGTATACATGATGATTCTATGATTCTTTTGTACTATGAAATTCTTTAAATCTTTTTCAATGTCATAGTATATGTAAATTGCAATAATATTGTTCAGGGAGCAACATCAATCTGGACCTTCTCATTCTGAAGAACTTAAAGTGCAGGAGGATCGTCACACTCATCGGTAAAAAAATTATACTTTAATGGTGCCAATTTCTGCTTTGAGTTGCTCTTCCATTGGTATATCCAAACTATTGATAACTTTGACAGCCACGTATTCTCCATTGGACAATTCCCCTTTGTAGACAACCCCAAAAGTACCAGAACCCAATATGATTGAGTAATTTCATGTAATTACATCAAGTTGTTCAGGAGAGAATCTGATGGGTTTCTCCTTGTTGATGTTGCTTAGGAATCTTTCCATTGTTGCAAACTCAGCTTTTGAACCTTGAACCGTGGAATTTGGAGGTATCACTACTTCAATTTCACTAGTTGAAGGATATGACTTTGAAGCATTATGATCCTTTTCTGTACTTGGAAGCTGGGAATATGCAGGAATTGTTTCTCCTGTCTTCTTCAAGCACTGAATTATGGCATATACTATAGCTATAATTGTTGTTACTACCACCAATCCAAAAATTGAAAATTGAAATAGAACATAATTAAGAGATTTACATTTTCTAATAGAAGGATTAACATGTAACAACATATTTATCGTGAAACTATATACTTCTTCAGTTTTACCAGCACTTTGCCATGATATTTTTATATCAACCATTTCACTTTTGAGTGTATAATTTTATACCTTGATACAAAACTAATCAATATAAAAACTGCTAGGCTGTTGATTTCAATTGAAATTCTGGTAAGATACACACAAATGTCAAGTCTCAACCAATTATTTTTCTAACACATAATTATCATGTCAAATTTTATTATAAGGGTACCCAAAAATCTAAGAAGAAACCAATAATTGTTATAGGTCTGTGAAATAAAAATATGAATAGATATATTCCAAGCATGCATAGATCCAAGAAGGTTTAGTTCTGCTTACCAATAGACTCTATTATTGCCCATTTCATAGTGGAATCAAGACTTTGATTAAATTTATCAAAAGCATTAAACGCCTCAGTCTGACCCTGGTCAGAAGAATCATATGAAGTATAGAACGACGAAGGTGAAAATCGAAAACTCATGCTTGTTGTTTAAGCTCGTGAATGAAAGCCTCGGGATTTGGATTAGCAAAAGACTCAAATATAACATGCAAGTTGGATCTAGCAGAAATTGGCACCATTGGAAGAATTTACCATGTCAATCTAGTCTGGCTTTATGTTTTTTGCTTCCACCGGGACAAGCGAGCTCTTGTTTATGAGTTTGTGGAAAATGGTTCTCTCAGCAAGTACTTGTTTGGAAGCCAAAACCAAGACATCGAGTTGGGGAAGCTTCATAAGATTGCAATTGGAACAACAAAAGGAATTGCTTATTTACATGAGGAATGTCAACAAAGGATAATTCATTATGATATTAAATCTGAGAATGTTCTTCTTGATTTGAACTTGGGACTGAAGGTAACAGATTTTGGCCTGGCAAAGCTTTGTAGCAGAAGAAGTAATGTTTCGTCAATACACAGAGAAACAGTGGGATACGGTGCTCCTAAAATGTGGAAGCCTTATCCGGTGACTCACAAGTGTGATGTTTATAGTTTTGGTATTCTTCTCTTTGAAATTGTAGGGAGGAGAAGGCATTGTGATGACAACTGCAATGAATCGCAACAATGGTTTCCAAAATGGACTTGGGATATGTTTGAGAATAATGAATTGTCTGTAATGCTTTCACTTTGTGGAATTGAAGAGAAAGACAAGGAGAAAGCCGAAAGAATGTCAAAGGTGGCTCTATGTTGTGTTCAGTATTCACCAAATGATAGACCTCTTATGAGTATTGTGGTGAAGATGTTAGAGGGTGAAATTGAAATTTCTCCACCTCCATTTCCCTTCCAAAACCTGGAGTCTAGGAAGCCAAACTTTCCAGATTCAGATACTACATCATTGCAGACAAAATCTTCTGGAGAATACAAGCAAAATACATTTCAGATTGAAAAATCTACTTAATTGTATCATAACAGTATAAAGATTGTAGTAAAATAGAAATTCATCCTATTTTATGCATTTAATACAAAAAAAGTGTTGTTTTGAGCTCTGTTGGAATTGCATTGCATATTCTGAAACCAAATTCTTGGTGCCTAATCTAAAACGTCTCAGAATTTTTTTTAAACCTTGGCAACACTTTTGCAAAAAGAATTTTGTACGTTTCATCAAACCAGAGGACTGGAGTGAAAGCAAGGGTGTTTTAGGCAGGAGTGAAATTAGGAATGTGGTAATTAGAGGAGGGGCATTAGGAGTGAAAGCAAAGGATGCTTTAACTATTTGGACTTGTGAATGTTAAATGCATCTCTGGTTCTCCTTCCTCTTTATTCTATCAACACTTCCAATATTCACTCCTACCAACTTCTCCCTTGTGTTCTTAAGGCTGTCCTTCAATGACAAAACAGAATACATTTAACAATTTGCAAACTCTAGTCATACATAATGTATTATGTCTTGTAAGCTTCTGTCACATACATAATCACATTTTCCACGTTTGAAAGAAGTAAAGCCTATAAGATAGGAATAAATTTGTGTATACATATTGATTATAAGTATCTTTTCCAAATTATATACAGTAGGTTTATTTATTTAAAGATATGTGTTGACTTCATTTATTTAATGAAAAAGAATAGACTCAACAGAATCAAATTACAAAAACTAAAATGTTTTTACAACATAATTTAAGCCATGGATACCCCATCAATTAGCTTTCGTTCCCCCATTATACTATTTGCTAGAGTCTAATCCCAACTCTTGATCATAAATAGGAGTAGCACATACATTGCAGGGTAAGGTTACTATCATAATTCAGATGGTTGGACTGGATGTGATTAACTGGTACATGTCCAGGTCTCTTATCCGACCAATGATTTCAAAAGAAGTATTCCAAAGCTGTAAACATTGCATTTTTGAGTTACGGGAGATGACATTCGAAGCTTGGGTGTTGCATAACCAGCATTTCCATTTTCAAATCTTGGCTAAGCAAAAATAATTAGTGAAAAAAAATAATATTTATCAGATTAAACTTGCCATTGTTTGGACAGCAAAGTTTGAATAGACAGCTTTCAGAAAAATTCACACATTTTGTTATAGCTGATGTTGCTGTTTGAGGTCGTACTCAAGCCACTTACATGCCTATACTTCTTTCCTTCACTTACAAAATAAGTTAGCTTGTTTTAGATAGTTCAGGGCAAAAATAAGTACTGATAAATGGTCAACAGTAGAAAAGAAATATTCCGTAACATTTTTAAGTAATGGAAAACAAGCATCAAATAATGTCTCATTCATCACCACTGGTAAAGCACAATTCAATTTCATCATACCTCCTCATAGAATCATGTACAACTACTGGTTCTGTTACCGTAGCAGAAGAGCTAGAATTAATACTTGTACTAGCATTGGTGCGTGATTCTTGGACTAAATGATCAGAGAAAGTCCCATCCATGATTTTCTGAAATGAGTTCAAAGGTTTAGAGATTTCCACTGAACCTTCCAACATTTTCACCACATCACTCATTATTGGTCTTGATTCTGGCCTATACTGAACACACAACAATGCAACCTTAACCATTCTTTCAGCCATTTCCTTATAAATCTCCTCTATTCCACAAACCGTTATTACTTCTTCTAATTCTCCTGCATCATATTTTTTCCAAACCTATATTGGGAACCACTTCTGGCTTTCTGGAAGGTTAATGTCCAAGTTTCTTCTCATTCCCGCGATTTCAAATAATAACATTCCAAAGCTGTAAACATCACACTTGTGAGTTACAGGAAGTGGCATCCAAATCTCAGGGGCAACATAACCAGGAGTGCCCCTACCTCCAGTCATAGTTATATGAGATATTTCCCTATTGCAAAGCTTAGCCATTCCAAAATCAGCAACTTTAGGATTGAAGTTGCTGTCCAAGAGAATATTTTCTGGTTTGGTGTCATAGTGGATTATTCTTTGTTGACAATCTTCATGCAAGTATGCAATGCCTCTTGCTGTTCCAACTGCAATGTCATGAAGCTTTTCATATTTTAGGGTCTTGTTTTCATGAAACAGATACTTGTCAAGAGAGCCATTCCCCATGTATTCATAAACCAGTGCTCTCAGATCTTTCTTAAAGCAAAATCCATAGAACTGAACTAGATTGAAATGATGGATTTTTCCAATTGTACTCACTTTTGCCATTAACTGTTCCTGTATTCTCTTATCTGAGTTCGCGCGTAGAACCTTCACAGCCACAGTGGTTCCATCACTTAAATTTCCTTTATAAACTTGTCCAAAACCTCCTGAACCCAACAAGGTAGAGTAGTTATCAGTTGCAATCCTGAGCTGCTTAGCAGTATACCTGATTGGCTTTTCACTTCCCACATTGCTCGAAAATTTATCCATTATGTTAGTTAGGAATATGTCTGAGCTGCTTTCAGTGTTGGTCTCGGATCTTCTACAACGCCAAACCAAAAAAATCAACAAGGACAGGATCACAACTGTAACGTGTTATTACACTGTCAAAATTTGTGACATAAAACAAAACCAATGTAGAATTAGAAAAGAAAAAAAACGAAAATATAACGGGCTTAAAAGTTAAAACCTACTAACTGTAGAGGATATGGTAAGCCCTAATGCATTTTTCATTGGTTCGTTGATAAGAACTCAAAAATAGGTAGTGGATGTGATGTGAGACTTGTCTGCAAAATCGAATGGAAGAAGAAGGATATATCTACAAGATCTATAGTAAACATCACATGATTGTGATCATTAATTCTATATTTTACAGTTGCCCCCTCGGTCTAAGGTTTTATTTTGAGAATGAATATTCTTAATGGCATAAGCTGGTTAGCAAACTTACAAGAGGGAAGACACAATTATAAGAACGAAATCTCTACGACAAATACTAAGTTTTAGTTTTCTGTTCTTTCGTGGTACAATCCACCAAGGATAATGCTAATCTATTTATAATATATAAATCCTAAGTTGTGAAGTAATACGCTTACATGACAATATCATATTTTTACACATTTCTTACCGGTTAACACATGGGTCAATATCTGGTTAAATATGAAAGGCCAAAGGCAAAGGAAGTTCATGAACACTTTTTTGTATGTACTAATGACATGTCATGAGTAAACAACATTTTCCGTGTTATTTATTCAAGTGAATGGCTGACAAGGAACTCCATGACTGAGAATACAAAGAGATGACAACGACTAATAGAAAGAGTTTCTTCTTTTTGTGCTTTTTATTTAACAACATTTTCTCCAAGTTTGAAATTATATACAATAGATTTATTTATTTAAAGATATGTGTTGACTTCATTTATTTAACAATATAGAATAGATTCATCAGAATCAAATTACAAAGGAAAACATTTGACAACATAATTTAAGCTAAAAAACCTTCTATCAAGTAGTATGTAGTCTTCCTTATATTATACCCTTTTGCTAGTTGTAACGAACCGCCACGGTCTTTACACTTAGTGGAATCGCACTAACTAGTCCGATCTGGAATGTATTTCACGACACTTTACTTTTCAGCGTGTTGCGCCCTTATTGCACAGTTTTTGGGAAATATCCCAGAAGGTCACCCATCCTTATATTACTCTAAGTCAAGTACGCTTAATTGTGGAGTTTTGATAAGATAAGCTACAGAAAGGCAGATGCATGTTGTCAGTATATGTAGTACAAATTAATTCATTTAAGTCATCTTCAACTATACAATCTCATATATATATATATATATATATATATATATATACTACCTTTGGATCTTCAAGGCTCTCCAAGGAATTTGTCTTGTTATGGTGTCCCTATGTTATTTTCTAGTGAGACATGAGGTGCATGTTTCTTTGGATGCCTTTAGTGGTGGAAGGCCGGTTACCAAATGCTTGTTGGCAAGTGTGCAAAGTCCCTGAAAGTTTAGATGAGCAAACCTTTTATGCCAAAGTTATACTTCTAATTCAGAAGATTCATTTACTTGAAGGCATTGTGATTCACGAGGATTCATTGAGGATGTTAGATAAAATAAAACATCATATTTCCTTTCATGCTAGAATGAAGAAGTAATCCACGATCTGGATGGAAAATTTTGCAAGTGTCATTTTGAATCAATACAACCAAACCGTTCTCTTAGAGTTGCCCTAAACTTAGAAGATTGGTTCTAAGTTCTAGGACATAATATACATCTGTGATGATATATGAGCATCCATTAATACAAACTCGAATGTCCCCTTTTGCTTCTACTGCCATAGTGGTGTCATTACCAAGCTTGACTGTCTTGCACAGTCCCTATTTATGTATCTTGGTAAACCACCGTTTATCTCTGGTCATATGGTTACTGTAACCAGAATCAAGAAACCAATCTTCTTGTTGCACAGATTGATGATTTGTTTCTTCATATGCTACCAATAGTACTTCATCTTCTACCCCTGATGATTCGTCGTATATTGCATAATGCGCTTGTTTTTACACTCATGGGCACTTGTATTGGAAGTGTCCTAGTTTGTGACACCGAAAACACTCTACAAGCGCTTTATTCAGTGATTGTCTTTCGCGACCTCTTCCACGACCACGACCACCACCACCACCTCCTCGGCTGTGTCCATGACCTGTTTCTGATCTTCTATCATGAGTAATTTACAGCACTTGTTCATCGGGTTGAGAGTCCTGCATTCGCTGCTCATGAACTAGTAAGCTTCCACGAAGTTCATCAAGAATTAGTTTACTCAAATCATTAGATTCCTCTATTGAACAAACCACAAAGTTGAATTTTAGGGTGAGTGATATGAGTATTTTGCTAACCACAATACATGAGTCCATCACCTCTCCATTCGACTTCATCTTGTTGACACTACTGAGTGTACGTCCCAGATACTGATCAATGGTTTCAGCATCTTTCATAGTGAGTAATTCAAACTCACGTCTCAAGGCTTGGAGTTGTGCTCGCTTGACCCTAGTTGAGCCTTGGAATTTTTGTTGCATGGATTGCCAAATCTTCTTGGACGTACTCTTGTCCAGAATAGTGTCTAACTCCTTGTCAATGGCTTGAAACAGGCAATTTTTTACCTTCAAGTCCTTCAATGTAACGTCAGCTACAACTTTTTCTTGAGCTTCAGTTGGGTGGGTACCTAACAGCGGTATTCCATCTTGAATAATCAGCCACATCTCCTTGCTACGTAAGAAACTTTCCATAGTCATAGACCAAAACTCATAATGACCATCAAATTTCGGGATGGCAGGTTGAACAAGTTTCTCTGAGCCAGACATCCTTCTTTCTTCTATTTATGCACTCACACTGTTTCCCAGACCCCACACTCTTTTCACTCCTTTCACTCACATCACACCAGTTCACACTATATCAGGCCCCATGAATCTCTGATACCAATTGTTAAAAACTCAAAGCACAACTTGTGCACACACTGTTTGTGAATAGAGAATACTGTAATGTTTATTCAATTGAAAGAGCATGACTTTTATAAGCCTTTACATGCATAAAATAAAAACTGAATTTACGTACATGGCTACAAAGTAGGCCACGCACACCTACGCACACCTAAACAATAGCTAATTGACAGACTAGTTCAACCCTAAGAAATAGGGCTTTATTTAAAAAATGCAAAAGTAATCCAACACAAGGTGGGTTTCCTCTGCCCAAACTACGGTCACCGGTGCCCTTAGTGGTTGACGTCACTACTCATCACCGCCGTGGTCCTGGTGGGGATGGTGGTAGCGCTATACTCATCCGAGCATTGTACAAGGCTCTAATTGCACAGAGGCAACCACCACCTCCGCCGCCCCATCTGCCCCCGACAGAGCAGGTGGTGGACGACGAAGAGGGGCCGGTGTAGCCTCCTCCTCTTCCCGATTCGACATCTTTCATGGAATTAGACCTTTAAACACTTAGATTAACCATGTATATTATATTTCTTGCTTTTATTAATATATCAAAATCCTACGTGGCTCAATATTGGTGCCATTTTCTTCGTGTTTTTGTTTTCTCTTTGTCGAAATCAATAATAAAAAAAATAAAAATAAAAAACAAACTTAGTTGACTGAAAATGCTTTTTGTTTATTCATTTCCTGATGCAATTTTAATCTTATAAAAATAGAGTTGGGACTTCAGTTTTGGACGTGAACGCACCACCAGACAGCATCAGACCAGTATGATTTTGGAACACATTTCTCATGTAAGACTGCTTGAACTGCATTCAAGATCGTGCGGTTTTTTCTTTCTACAACTCTGTTTTGTTGTAGAGTGTAAGTTGTGGTCTTTTGTCTTGAAATCCCTTGATGATTGCAATAATTTTCAAACTCCTCAAAGGTAAATTCACCACCTCTATCAGTTCATAGACAGATAAATATAGTTCAATTCAGTAGCTTGGAATGGCCCGTTCCAGTTTGGGAACGGCCCGTTCTGGGCTACTGAATCAGCCTTTTTTTTTTTTTCACAATGTTACAATACTCCCCAACAAATACGAATTTTTGTCCCCGAAAATAGGTCTACCTGAAGAGAAGAATGGATACTGTTCCTTGAATTGACTCTCCACCTCCCAGGTAACCTCACCAGTAGCTGCATCCCAAACAATTCTCACCAAGCTGATGGATTTGCCACAAAACTTCTTCAACTTGTGATCAACCACAGCTATCGGTTTCTTCTCGTAAGTCAAGTTTTCTCTAACTTGCACCTCATCCATCTCTATCACGTGACTCGGGTCTCTGATGTACTTTCTCAACTGTGAAACGTGAAACACATCATGCAGGTGGGACAGACAAATCCGACCTCTGAATCTCAGAATCCCATCAGTACCAAGCTAAAAACTAGTTGCCCTCTCAGTACCAAGTAATCCCAAAGTCCTTAACAACTCTGGGTCCTGTAACTGTTTAGTTCCCACCTGCTTCAAGAACTCATTAGTTATGGTGATCATACCACAGCTAATGTGATCTTGTACAACCTCCACCTCTAGTCTCAAATCTCAGAACTGCTCAATCAACTCCAACTCCCTAATCATCATAGCCGACATGTGAATGGATTTTCTACTCAATGCATCAGCTACCACATTCGCCTTTCCAAGATGATACATTAACAGGAAATCGAAGTCCTTTAGAAATTCCATCCACCTCCTCTGCCTCATATTCAACTCTTTCTGATCAAACAGATATTTCAACCTCTTGTGATCACTGTATACACTGAATCTCGCACCATACAGATAGTGCCTCCACGACTTCAAGGCAAATACCACAGCTGCAAGCTCCAAATCATGAGTAGGATAATTTCTCTCATGGGTCTTCAGTTGCCTCGAAGCATATGCCACTACTCTCCCTCCCTGCATCAACACACAACCTAACCCCTGGTGAGAAGCATCACAGAACACATCAAAATGCTCACCAGTGTTAGGTAACACCAAAACTGGAGAAGTGGTTAACCGTCTCTTTAGCTCCTGAAAACTCTGCTCACAAGCGTCCGTCCAAACAAAAGGTTGATCTTTTCGAGTCAGTTGAGTCAAAGGCATTACTATTCGAGAAAAACCCTCAATGAACCTCCGATAGTAACCCGCCAACCCAAGAAAACTCCTAATCTCTGTAGCAGTCATCGGACGCTCCCACTGAATCACAGCCTCCACCTTGGCTGGATCTACTGCAATCCCCTCTGCCGATATCACATGCCCCAAAAATCTCACCTCGGACAACCAAAACTCACACTTGGACAGTTTGGCATACAACTGTCTCTCTCTTAACACCTCCAAAACCGACCTCAAATGCTCACGGTGATCCTCCAATGATCTAGAATACACCAAAATATCATCAATGAAGACCACCACAAATCTGTCCAAGAACGGTCTAAAGATCCTGTTCATGTAATCCATGAACACTGCTGGAGCATTAGTGACACCAAAAGGCATCACCACATACTCATAGTGACCATACCTAGTCCTAAAGGCAGTCTTCGGTATGTCACTCTCCTTCACCCTAATCTGGTGATATCCGGATCTCAAATCAATCTTTGAAAACACTGAAGCTCCCCTCAGCTGATCCATCAAATCATCAATCCTTGGAAGGGGATATTTATTCTTTATCGTTAATTTATTCAGCTGCCGATAATCAACACACAAACGGGCCCCACCATCTTTCTTCTTCACTAACAGTACCGGAGCACCCCAAGGAGAAACACTGGGCCTCACCATCTGTTTCTCCAACAAATCCTCAATTTGTGTCTTCAGCTCTACCAACTCAGCTGGAGCCATCCTATAAGGAGCCACTGATACCGGTCCTGCACCTGGTACCAGATCAATGCTAAACTCAACATCACGCCTGGGTGGCAATCCTGACACATCATCTGGAAACACCTCAGGAAATTCACTGACAATCTCGATCCCAGCGATAACTCTCTCTGTCTCAATACTCAAAGCTGCAAACAACATGAAGCACTCAGCTCCATCCCTCATCAACTGCTCAGCCTGACCCGCTGATACCAACACCTCATCCTCCAACTGAGGAAACATCAACTCTCTCCGAGCACAATCTATAAGGATGTGATGAGCAGATAATCAATCCATCCCTAAGATTATGTTGATATCCACCATGGGCAACACAATCAGGTTCACTCGGAACCTCCTACCAGACACCTCTATCGGACATCTCACACACATCTCCGACGTCACCACAGAAACTGAAGCCAGAGTAGACATAGACAAATCAACATGCAAGGAAGATACTGACAAACCCAATCTCTTCACACAATCACCAGAAATAAAAGAATGCATGGCACCAGAATCGAACAAAAATAAAACATCCTCACCTGCTGCCTTCCGTTTCCCCTTCACCAAGTCTGATGAAGTGGAAGCCTCTGTACCTGATAATGTAAACACTCTCCCCGCAGCTGTAGGTCTGGGTGGCCTCAGAGCACTCCCAGATGAAGTTGGTGGTGTCTGACAATCTCTAGAGATGTGGCCTGGCCTACCACATCTAAAGCAAACATTCCCCGGAAGGGAACAATCTCTAACCATATGTCCTCCTTCACATCTGTAGCACCGCACTGACGATGCTCCACCCTGAGGAGTAGCAGGACGAGGTCCCCTACTAACAGCTTCTCTCTGAGACTGTACAGGTCTGTCATAGGGTCCCCTCTTCTGGCCTCCCCTCCTGGACCTAGATGATCCCTCCTGAACTCTAGCAGCCTTACCGCTGCTACCACCACCCTCCAAACTCTCAACAGTCTTTGCCTTCTCAACCAAGGCAGGAAACTCCACTATGGACATAGGGACTATAACCCTCTTCAGCTCGTGCCTCAATCCCTCTGCAAACTTTCTACATCTCCAAGCCTCAGATATGGCCTGAGAGTAGAAACGAGCTAGATGCTCAAACCTCATATCATACTCAGAAACAAACAAGCTCCCCTGATGTAATCTCATGAACTCTGCCTCCTTATCGTATCTAACGCTATCCGGGAAATATTTCTCCAAAAAGACCCTCCTGAAGCAATCCCAGTCAATAAGCACACCCCTGCTCTCTAACATCTGCCTGGTGCCTCACCACCAGTACTCAGCCTGGCCCCCCAGCATGTAAACTGCATAAGCCAACTTTCTCTCATCAGAAGATCCCAAAACACTAAAGATCTTCTCCATATCCCTCAACCACTGATCCACCATATCAGGATCTGAATCCCCTCTGAACTGAGGAGGCTGACATCCCCTGAATTCTGCTAAATCTCTCCCCTCCTAAGAGACCACCGGTCTATCTGCCTCAGCCGCAACTCTACCTGCCTCCATATGAGCAAAGTGAGCACTCTGTTGCCCACTTGTTTTTCCCATTTTAATCCAATCCAAAAACTTGGAGTTTGTTTAGTTAGGTTCACCAAATGATGGTAAGACCTAGCTAAATCAATTTCTTGGAAAATATGGAGCTAAACAAGCCCAATATGTAAAATTTGGCCAAGGCCCAATTACAAGTTGCACCTACACACCTTACTATTTGTCACCCCACTTCTACTACTGAAAAATATAAAATGAATGACCCTTAATACAAGTTCAAATGGAGCAAAAGTCTCCAAGTAAGATACCCTAAATTCCTAAAGGATAACCTATAATAAAAGAAAGAAAGTGCCTCACAAATACAAAGGCAAAATACACCTAGACAAGCAACTACTATGTACAAGTATTATACAATGTATATACAATGGAAACTAAAAGACTAATAAGAGGAATCATACTCAATGTTCATGAAGAGCAAAGGTCTAAGAAGCACCTCCTCTGTAGAAGCCTTCTCCAGCCTCCTAACCATGGACCTAGTTAAAGGCCTGTAGACCCCTAAAATTGTCCGGGTCGGAAATAAAGCTCAAAGACTCTCAAAGACCGAAGGAAAGTCACCCGGAAGGACTCCTGGAAGACCCTAGGATGATTCTTTGTATGTCTAGAAGTCTTAGAGTAGCTTAGAATAAGGGTGTGTGAGGATTGGAGCTCAATACGCCCTCCCAGAGGTTCAGTACGGCCGTATTGAGCTTTTTGAACTACAATACGGCCACACTGAAACCAATACGGCCGTATTGAACTTTTTGAACTACAATACGGCCACACTGAAACCAATACGGCCGTATTGAAGTTTTTGAACTTCAATACGGCCACACTGAAACCAATACGGCCGTATTGAACTTTTTGAACTACAATACGGCCACACTGAAACCAATACGGCCGTATTGAAGTTTTTGAACTTCAATACGGCCGTATTGAATTCAATACGGCCGTATTGAAGTTCAAAAACGTGAGTAATTCAAACTCACGTCTCAAGGCTTGGAGTTGTGCTCGCTTGACCCTAGTTGAGCCTTGGAATTTTTGTTGCATGGATTGCCAAATCTTCTTGGACGTACTCTTGTCCAGAATAGTGTCTAACTCCTTGTCAATGGCTTGAAACAGGCAATTTTTTACCTTCAAGTCCTTCAATGTAACGTCAGCTACAACTTTTTCTTGAGCTTCAGTTGGGTGGGTACCTAACAGCGGTATTCCATCTTGAATAATCAGCCACATCTCCTTGCTACGTAAGAAACTTTCCATAGTCATAGACCAAAACTCATAATGACCATCAAATTTCGGGATGGCAGGTTGAACAAGTTTCTCTGAGCCAGACATCCTTCTTTCTTCTATTTATGCACTCACACTGTTTCCCAGACCCCACACTCTTTTCACTCCTTTCACTCACATCACACCAGTTCACACTATATCAGGCCCCATGAATCTCTGATACCAATTGTTAAAAACTCAAAGCACAACTTGTGCACACACTATTTGTGAATAGAGAATACTGTAATGTTTATTCAATTGAAAGAGCATGACTTTTATAAGCCTTTACATCCATAAGATAAAAACTGAATTTACGTACATGGCTACAAAGTAGGCCACACACACCTATGCACACCTATGTACATGGCTATAAAGTAGGCCACGCACACCTACACACACCTAAACAATAGCTAACTGACAAACTAGTTCAACCCTGAGAAATAGGGCTTTATTTAAAAATGCAAAAATTATCCATCAGGTTTATCTAAGCATCTAAAGGTCTAATTCCATGAAAGATGTCAAACTAATCCACGGAGGGTCCCGCTTGGGATTAACATGGATTGGTGAATCATTTAATAAAAAAATTGGATAAGATCGACAAGGTCTCAGTTTGAGAACAAGTCGTTCTAATAATCCAATACATTTTCAAAACTAAAATAAAAGCGAGCTCGACCGTCTTCGCGACCGCCGAGGCCCGTTTGGGCCGGTGGCGACAG